TATATATATATATATATATAATCACATTCCACAAGGATCTCAACGCACTTTTTGATCGGAAGCTTGAAAGATCAAATTTAAAATGCCCACACTCGAATTTATGATTAAATAATGTGTACCGATGAGACAAAACAAAAGAGATAATAAAATGAAATGAACCAAGTCCAAGCGATTTAGATAATGCACTTAATGCATAAACAGAAGTTTAGGAAGACACTCTCGAAAACAAAACAAAAAAAATCTCCAAGGATAGCTGTCTTATAATAAAATTGAGTGTCTCGACGAGATAACTTTAACATGCTGAAGACCACTTAATTCTAAGATTATTAAGGTCCTTAAGTACTCATAAAGATACATCCAATTAACGAAATCATTATAGGTTGTCCGATGAAGCGATCCAAATTCAAGTAATAATTAAGGATGTTGTCACTTCTAAAATCTATAAATATATCATCACTCCCTTCATGAAAGAGGAACTATGACTTGGACAAGAAGACTAAAAGGAGCTTTGTTAGGTATGTCTCATATCCCATAAATGAGACAGATGCTAGAGCGGAGCGGAGCGAACGAGCATAGTGGAGCGGAATGATCTGTCCAATCGGGGGAATTTCATTATGTGAGTTTGGGGTGCGGGGGCAATACCCCACGATTTGGTACAGGGGTAATTTAAGTAATTACATATTGAACTATAGGATTATATATATATGTCATGTCTGTAACCCTAGACGAGCAGAATCTTGTATTCTGTACTCTTTTCTGAATATTGAAAAGGAAGTCGTCGCTCTGCTCCCGATGATGTAGGCATCTTTGCAGAACCTCGTTAAGTCTATGTGTGTTCTTCTGGATTTGTGTCGATTCTTGTTTTTCTTCACCCTAATTTCTCAACAAGTGATATCAGAGCGAGGTTCGAGTGCAGTGAAGAAAATTTTGGGCGACACATTAATAAAGAACATTTTGGCAGAGAAGATTGGCAGCTAAGGAAGGATTTCAGCAAAGTTTGCTACAGTTCGGATTTCAGCACAGAGGATGTCTGAAGACGAAGAAACTTCGGAGGAGTCGGCGCAGGAAGACGCCGATGAGATCGACAGAGGCGCATGAAGGTGTCGGCGAGATCGACAGAGGAATATCGGCGTTCGCGATCACGACAGAAAATCGCGGCTTCGACTTCGGCGGTTCGGACGGGCTTCGGTTCGACGAGAGGTTTTAGCGTTAGGCGAAGTCGCTACAGACAAAATAGGAAGGTTCAATGTCAGCTTGGAGGAGAGGCAAAAATTGGAAGCTCAGATTTCATTCATTTGCTGAAGGCGGAAGAAAATTAGAAGGAAATCAAGTTCCAAGTTTATTGCGGAGAAGAAAATTGGAAGAGAAATTAAGTTTCAATTTTATTCCTTTGTGGGAGGTGGAGAAGAAAATTAGAAGGAAATAAATTCCAATTTTATTCCTTTGCTACAGAGAAGAAGTTTGGAAGAGATATTTTCCAGATTTCTCTAGAGTCAATAAAGGAAATTTCTTTCTATTAACCAAGAAATCTTGTTGTATGCAGAGATTTTTCAGGATGCTGAGAAAGCAAGGAAAGGGAATTTGTTGCTGCACTCGGGAGAGGAAAGATTTCTTTCTGGAAGGAAAGCGTAGTGGCCCAACCCACATTGGTGCATAAGAAACTTCATGACATATTTCTCCTAAAGAGCTGAATATTCGTCAAGGTGGAGATTTGTTGAGTATATGCATTTCTCTTAAAGGAGCTGAACATTCACTAATGTGGAGATTTGTTAGGTATGACTCATGTACCATAAATGGGACAGATGTTGGAGCGGAGCGGAGCCCACAAGCATAGTGGAGCGGAAGGATCTGTCCAATCGGGGGAATTTCATTATGTGAGTTGGGGGTACGGGGGCAACACCCCACGTTTTGAGACAGAGGTAATTTAAGTAATTACATATTGAACTATAGGATTATATATATATGTCATGTCTGTAACCCTAGGTGAGCTGAATCTTGTATTTTGTACTCTTTTCTGAATATTGAAAAAGAAGCCGCCGCTCTGCTCCCCAGGATGTAGGCATCTTTGCCAAACCTCGTTAAATCTCTGTGTGTTGGATTTGTGTCGATTCTTGTTTTCCTTCGCCCTAATTTCTCAACAAGCTTTAACCTCATGAGAATTCTCGAATTCCACTGCCTATGAACCACCATCGTCGAGCCTTCGACAACGGACCATCTCTACCCGATCACCATTGCCAAAACACCGCTACTCAACCACCTCTGCCATCAATATCAAACCATAACTGCTTCACCACTACAATTGTTGAATCAAGAGTCTCGATGAGTAATGAGTGTAAGATCCCTCAAATTCAACATCATTATGACACTTAAATTTCAAAAAAAATGTCGTTTTATCAAATAATTCTCCTCGGACCGTCCGATGGAGCGGTACAGATTTATTTATTATTTTCAAGAAAACCACTCCCAAGCTTTATAAACAAAGACATGCCCATTTTATGAAAGGAAACATATGCCTGGAAATAGAAGAAGAGCTCGAACTGGAATTGGTTCACAAAAGGAGTTGAATTGCAGTGCTATTTTGGACAAAAGTCCTGACAAAGGCTCCTACACTTGCAACCACCGACCACCGTCGGTCACAGCTTGTAAGCAGATGTTGACCGCCATCGATTGCCCCATGTTCATTGTAAAGGAACCTCTTACAGAATCACAATGTACACTATTGAATCTCATCACATGTTGCAGAGTAAAAAAACAATCGATGAATTGACGTATCATCCAAAAAGTTGTGTAGCAACACATTGAATATGATGCATTGGAGTTTCACTTAACTACTCTTAACTGCAATCACTCCTGACCATTGCGCAACGAACATCACATTTCAATAAACTGTGTAGACTTTTCTTGACAGTGGGACAAGAACCCGTATGTATAATCACTAGCTCATAATGAATCGTTCTGATAGCGTTAGACCTCATGATTTTTTCCCTTTTTCGATTTTTTACAAAAAAAAAAATTTGGTGTATCTATTACTTCTATTGTGTGTGTGTGTTGAACTTTCGTGCAATACTAATCTTTAACCACAAATTAAATTTATCTTTGCTCATTTATATTTGCACAAATTTGTTCAATATTATGATAATTAACTCATTCCAACATGAAATAACGATAAAAATTACGAAGAAATAGTAGTATACCATTAAAAATTTCCAAATCTTCTCTAAACTCGTACCACTTAAAAATAAAACTAAATCCATTAATTTAAGGAGAATTAATCACTACAATAGAAGAATTTGATCATTTAAATACTTTAATAATCGAGGAGGGTTTGACTTCCTTTGCCCTTTTTCGAAGCCACGCATTATTTTGTCTAATCTTCAAGCAAATTAAATTTTCAAGATTCTAAAATTACTCTAAGCACATGCGCACGATCCAATAAGTCCACCGGCTTATTACTGCTCAGCAATAAAAGCGGTCCAATGGATCCCATAGTGCGCACCATCTAGACGGTCCGGACCGGCCGTCCTCTGGACCCGGTTCACTTGTTCATTTGTTCCTTTCCACCCATTCCGTGGTCCGGCGGGTCTAACCACATTTATAAATAATCTCCCGTATTTGAGTTTCCCCTGCTCTTCTCGCCGTATATTTTCTGCTTTCTCAGGCGAGAGAGAGAGAGAGAGAGGGAGGGAGGGATGGAGAGGAAGATGACAGTCCCTGCGATGGCGACGGTGTTGATGTTTATCTGTGTCGGGATAATCGGAGTGGTATCGGACGCTTCCAATCATCGTTATAAGCCCGAAGAGACGGTACCTCTCTACGCCAACAAGGTCGGACCATTCCATAACCCTAGGTATGGTTCGAACGGATCTTGTTTCTATTGCTTGTTTTTATTGAGCGGAGATACAGTTGTTGTTAGATCCGCTGCCAGTTCATCTGGATCTGAGGAATTGTTTTGGTTTTGATAACGGAGTGACGATTTGCTAGAATTTTTGGTTTTCTTAGATTTTCTTATTTTGTGGATCAATGTTTGGATTCTGGATTTTTTTCTTCTTGATTATGATTGTTATCCCATGCTTGAATCTGTTAATTTTTGGAAAGTATTCGGTTTTTTCCCTTCGTTTTTGTAGATTGTAGATTTGGAAAATAAATCAGTTAGAAGGCCCGAACACATTACATACCAGAGAAACCCAAACAAGAGTTTTCTTTAAAATAAAGGTAGGTTAAGATTATTCGGGTGGAAAACATGTTCAAATGCTACACAATCAAAACACCCTGAAAAGGAAATGTGCCTTTGCATAAGATCTATTTGATATGTTTGCTGGCTACCTTTTTAGTAGATATGTCAGATCTGTAAATATATCATGAGTTAAGATGATTGATCCTGGTTGACTAATCGAATTAATATATTGCATTGTTCTCCCTTATAAAATGATTATTCCTTCAAGAAATTTGGGTTGCCAGAGATCTTTCTTGGAGCCACGTGATTGTTAAACAGCCAATTTGTACTGTTTGAGGACAACAGATACAAACTTGTTTGGCAGTTTCATCAATTGAAAAGAATACAACAAATGGTTGACAGTAAAGGTGAAAGGCAAATGGTCTTCGATTGGTAGGTGCCACAACATCAAACAAAGCTGTCGGAATCAAGCTCTAGATTTGGAAATCTCACCTTAGAATTGCAGCGACACTTATGGGCCGGCTGAGAACTTTTTTATTTAGATTTTTTGATGCCTTGATTTTTCTATTTGCCTCAAATTACATGTGTTACTTGTTCTTGTTCCATTTAACTTGGTGATTAAGGCTCGTTGATCTACTTACTGGGTAATACAGTTTTGCCCTGTCAATACAGTTTTTTTGTTTTGCAGTTTGTCTTTATTGGAGAATGTAGTTTTAAGTGTGTTGTTTTACATGCGACATAATAGAGTTTTGATGTCTAACCTCTTGAGGCTGGCTAATTATTTTGAACTATTGAAAGTAGATCAATGCAAGCAGCATCATATTGCAGAAAATTTTTCACTGATGTTTATATAAGATTTTATTTGTTGTGCATTTATCCTGTATCCATAGAATAACTGATTGAACAAGCTCTTCAATTCTGTTTCTTCATTGCTTCAATTATGTACTTTTTCTGTGTTTTTCTATATTATGTCGTTTTGTGGGGTTATAGTATATTTTTTTTAATGATTATAGTTGGATATTCATGTTTATCTGACCTGTTTTATCATTTTTCTAGTGAGACGTATCGCTATTTTGATCTCCCCTTCTGTTCCCCAGGTGAGCTTTGTTTTATTTTGTTATCTTTTCCTTTTAGCTTTTTGGGGAGGCTTTCTTACCTCCCTCCAACTTTTTCATGATTTTTAGCTCTTGCTTGTCATTTTAAATATTAAAATACACTGCAGCACCTGTGAAAGATAAATCAGAAGCCCTTGGTGAAGTCCTGAATGGCGATCGCTTGGTTGATGCTCCATACAAACTAGACTTTCGGGTTGATTATGATTCGAAATCAGCCTGCAAAAAGCAACTTACGAAAGAAGAAGTGGCCAAGTTTAGGACTGCAGTAGATAAGGATTATTACTTTCAAATGTACTTTGATGACCTTCCAATTTGGGGATTCATTGGGAAGGTTGATAAGGAAGGCAAGTCTGACCCAAGTGAATACAAGTACTTTCTTTACCGGCACATTCTCTTTGAAGTTCTCCACAATAATGACCGTGTTATTGAGATCAATGTTCGTACGGATACCAATTCAATGGTTGATATTACTGATGATAAAGACATAGAGGTTGATTTCATGTACTCTGTCAAGTGGAAAGAAACAGATACACCTTTTGAGAAGAGAATGGAGAAGTACTCTCAGTCCTCTTCTCAACAACATCACTTGGAGATTCACTGGTTCTCAATTATAAACTCATGCGTCACTGTTCTTCTTCTAACTGGATTCCTTGCAACCATCCTAATGAGGGTCCTGAAGAATGACTTTGTTAAGTAAGTGTTTTCTTAATCAGTGAACTCACTACTTGTTTTTTTTTTATAATGCATTTATTTAATAACTCCTCCATATTAATTTGAACAGTGTATGGTTTACTTCACAAAAATTTGAGCCAATTAATCATTCCATAATTACGAAGCAGCTTCTTTAGTCTCTTTTTCTAGTTGATCTATTTGATAGTACCTCTTTTATTCTTAAGTAAGGCCAAACCAAATTTGCTGCAAGGGCTAGGTAGTTTTGGTAAATAAAATTACCGGAAAAATTATACTAATAATGATTTTTAATTGCCGTGGCTTCTCAGCATAATCTGGCTAGTCATTTTTATTCAACTTTTTTCATTGTATATATAATCTGGCTAGTCATTTTTGTTCAACTTTTTTCATTGTATATTTTCTTGCTACTATTCAAAGTTATGTTTATATTTGTTTGATGATGTCCTCGAATGAAAGAAATAGATGCAGCAGGGCCCAGATGCCCAGAGTATTGAAAAATGGTGAAGTGACCTCTATCTCCGTGTTGGTTTTACACCGCTGATTATTGATACTGTATTTCGTTTCATGGTTTCAGTATAATTTTTTTTTGTGTTGACATAATATTAACCTGGACTTTTTTCGCAATGAATTAATATCTTGCGACTACAATGGTTGTTCTATGCATCTTTTATGATCTTTTATTCCTTGTGGGAAAATTGATTTTTTTCCACAATAGTTAAATGGTAAAACCGTAAAACTATTATGCTACATTCTCATCTTCTATGTGATAGGTTATGATATACATTTATTTATTCTAGACACAATGTTTGATCATTCATTGTTGATTACATGAAATGATTTTTGAAAATGGGTTTTTGCACCATATTTAATAGAACTCCTGAATTTGTGCACCTTTTAGGAAATGTCGATATTATTGCCTGATGCTTTGCTGAACTTGGCTTGTTTGTTTTGATTTCAAAAGATGACATAGATACTAAATTGAAGATCACTTCATCTGAATTCTGCATCACTATGTGAATTCTATAATAAATATTAACTGTGAATGAAGATAAATCCAAACTTATTATGGAAAACTTGCAATGAGTAATTTGCAAACAAAGCCCGAATGTTGTTCATACAACAACAACAACAACAACAACAACAAAGCCTTAATCCCACTACGTGGGGTCGGCTACATGAATCCTTTTTCTCCATTGCGTCCTATTTAGTGTCATATTTTCATTTAGTTCTAGTAAATTAAGATCATTTTTAATACAATAAGCCCAAGTCTTCCTAGGTCTACCTCTGCCTTTCTTAACACTAAATGGAGGGGTGTAACACGAGGACTTCCCAGGAGGTCACCCATCCTAGTACTACTCTCGCCCAAGCACGCTTAACTGCAGAGTTCTGATGGGATCCGGTGCACTGGTGCTGGTATGGTCGCACACGCTTAACTGCAGAGTTCTGAATGTTGTTCATGAGTCTGATAATTCTTCAGTTCATTAAAGTACATATCTTATAATTATTAAATGTTGGAATTATATGTGCTTGGTGCTTGAATCTACAACCCATTCTAGGAGTAATAGAAAAAATAACAGGCAAATTGGAACTCATTTGAATTCTATAATAAATATTAACTGTGAATGAAGATAAATCCAAACTTATTATAGAAAACTTGCAATGAGTAACTTGCAAACAAAGCCCGAAGGTTGTTCATGAGTCTGATAATTCTTCAGTTCATTAAAGTACATATCTTATAATTATTAAATATTGGAATTATATGTGCTTGGTGCTTGATGCTTGAATCTACAACCCATTCTAGGAGTAATAGAAAAATTAACAGGCAAATTGGAACTCAAATTCTATAAGAGTTTAGATACAATTTTTTTATTAGAGAATGCACACTAGCAATTTAAAAAACTGGAATCCAAACCTATGGAACTCTGATGATTGCACAAGAATGAAGACAGAAGAAATGTTAAGATATGTGTGTATTTCATTGAGGATGTTACACCACTATTTTTAAAACAGTTTTTAAGGTTACTTTTGAGTAATTTCTACGAATGAGAATTATTAATTTGGTAGTGCCTACATGATAAAATTCCTTGGATAGAATTTACAAGTATTTAGTTTATTTTTTATATTTACATCTATAAAAATGAAGGAAGATGTTATACAGCTTGCGAACATTTAATTCGCTTGAAATTTAGGGTTATTTCTACCCTTTACAAGCTCATGGATTGTTGCCTTGTTAGAAAGGATGGATCACTAGCTTGCAATCCCACAGATTGCCAAACTGGCTCAAGAAAAATTGCGGATGCTCCTCAAATTATGGGGTAGATATTCTTTATGCCAAACTTGGGGATGTTGTTTTTAAATGTCGAGCTTTATAGTTTTCTTTGTTGAAGTGTCGGTTGATTTTTTTTGTTTGAGTTACTTATATTGGACTGCTTGAGTGGTGATATTGATCATTGATTTGTTGTGGCAGGGTAATGTCATTGTATCTTCCTATGTTATTTCCAAGACATTGAGAATGATTTTGATACACACTTGTTCATAGATTTCTCATTTCATTGCACGAAATTCAACCTAAGAATTAGATTTGAGGACTATTGGCGGTGTCTTGCTTCTTCAAGTAATTAGGTTTTCACCCTTTGAGGTGTCTCTAATAGGAGGGTTTCTATCTTTGATGAATTTTGACCTTTCAACATTTTTGTATACTTCTAAGCTGAATCTTCTATTTCTCTTAAATAACATTCTTTTTATCAGGGTTATTTTGAAGCATCGAAGATTATTATATGTCACTTTTAAATGCGTTTCTTTGTAATTTTGTATGAATTGACTTAGACACCTATATCATTGGTTGCTGCTATCAAGTGGGCAAGGTATAGATATTTCCCAATCAATCTTTGAAACCTCCCTTTATCAACTTTTGGGTTATTTCCTCCCTCTCCAAGTGTATGATAGTAATTAATTGGAACCTATGAGGCTTAATATCTCGTCATTCCGATTTCATTTAGTAGATCCATTATGAATTATTGTTGGGAGATGATTATTCCAGTTTGAGCGAGCCACTTTAATTCCACATAAGTATTGGATTTTTCTAAATCTTTTCAAAATTTTTGGATAATTGATCTTTCACTTTCCTTATTATTTGAAATCATTTACCATTATAGTCCTATTCTCCAAAGATGGTGAAGAATAATTGAAAAATGTGGTTGCCTTTAAATTAGAGGTTCAATTTTATACAAGGTTGTTTATTAGTTTAAGGTGTAGGCTATATCTATATAAGTGGCTTAAAATTCTTATTTGAAGCATTTTGTTCAAGTAATTTTAAGAATGCGATGAAATGATGTTGATATATTGTATGGGAATTTGAATGGGGAGAGTTTAGTTTTGGGTTTTTCGGAGATTTAGGCGGACAAGAGAGAAAGAACTGGTCTCTTGGGTAGGAAGAGGAAGAAAAGCCATGAGCTCATAGCAGAGAATATTTGATGCAAGCATTCATCCTAGAGAACTTGAATTCAAGAGTTTTCTTTGATACCATTTTAGTGTAGAATGGGCAATGAAATGATGTATCCATTGGGGAATTGGAAGAGAAAAAAAGGGAATATTAGGGTGAAAAAGGGGAATGTTTAAAAAGGTGAGCAAAAATTCCTTTATCTTTAATTTTTATTCCTTGAAGAATCAAGGTAATGAATCCTTAAGACAAGGCACTAAATCCACCTAGCATGGAGAAGGAGAATTAACTCCTTAATCATCCCCATTAGAAGTTGAAATCTTATATAATTATAATTTAAATTTTTTAACTCCTTTCCATTTGGATTACTCATGTTTTTGGCACAATATTTTTTTAAATAACAAAATATTAAAAAAAAAAGAAAAAGAAAACATTGTCTTAAATGATAAGTGATACATGAACTACCACAATTAACCTAAATACAACTTAGGTGATTTTGAGATGTCGTATGAAGGCAAGAAAATGCTTCTATTAGATTAGTAGATTGATAGGAAGGAGAATGGGTAGACAAGTATATGGATAGAAGTTTAAAATGATTTGTGAAGAATATGTTAACACATCAGGAAGCAGTTAATAGGAGGAAATGTAAAATCAAGATTCATAATCCTTTTTTCAAAACAAAATATTTTTTTGAAAAAACAAAAAAAAAAAAGTTTTAAATGTTTTAAATGATAATTTCCACACCACACAGAGTACTAACACTTTATTTAAAGATAACTTAGGTGATTTGCTTAAGTACAATGAATGGTAGAAGAGACACTTATTAGATGAGTAGATAAAGTTAATGTGAGGTGATTAGAAAGGAGAGTGAGTAGAAAATTATATGGATTCAAGTTATTAAAAATGATTTTTGAATAGTAAGTTTAACACCTTATGAAGCACTCAAGAGGTAGAAATGGAGAATGAAGATTCATAAAGTTGACCAAATTTTATGATAAAGCATATAATGATGATGATAACTAAGGTGAAAATAATCTAAACACTACACATAAATCATGCCATAAATTTTTAATGGCACTATGATTGATAGCTAAGAGTAAACATCACATTTGCCATCAATGTTCTTTTCCTCAACCGTCTTAACTATCATCTATTTATTTGTTGCAATTAACCTTGAATTACCCTATTTTAGTAGAAAATTCTAGGTTTCCGTAAAATGAGTGCTTACTAGTTATGATTAATTAAAGTCAATTTGATAACTTAAGATGGCTAAGGCTAACCTAGGAGGCTAATTTGTGTCATTTTAGGGTGATATGGTGTTAACCTAGGCTAAGAATATAATCTAAATTTGACTTAGGTTGGTCTAATTAGGGGTGTGAACGAGTCGAGCTTGAGCGAGCCTAAGGCTTTTTCGTGTTGTGCTCTTTCGATTTTTTTTATTTGTGTTTGTTCGACTCATGTTTGAAATGACTTGTGAGTAGTATGCTCCTGTTTAGCTTGATTCAAACTCATTTTTCCGAATTAAGCTTGAATTTGACTTGAAATAAAATTGATTTAAATTTAATACAAGAACAACAACAATAAAGCCTTAATTCCACTACGTGGGGTTGGCTACATGAATCGTTTTTCTCCATTGCGTTCTATTTAGTGTCATATTTTCATTTATTTCTAATAAATTAAGATCATTTTTTATACAATAAGCCTAAGTCTTCCTAGGTCTACCTCTGCCTTTCTTAACCAGGGCTGTAAACGAGTCGAGCTTCAGCGAGCTCAGGCTTGGCTCGTATTCGGCTCGTTTGAAATAGCTTGTGTTCGAAATTGGCTCATGAACAGTGTGTTCGTGTTCGACTCGATTTAAATATTCATGTTCGTGTTCGGCTCGAAATTGGTTCAGAAAAATTAAATTAAAAAAATAAATGTAAAGTGTGGGATTTGAACCTGGACCAAATATATATAAAAGAAGACACTAACCACATTACCACACGAGGTGTTATGATTTAAATTTAAATGTAAACTAAATATAAATATATACAATGTATTATTTTATAAATAATATTTGTAATATATTATTATATAAATAATTATATATTTTTTAAATTTCGAGCTAAAACGAGCCGAACACGAGCGAACGAAGAGCTGTTCGTGTTCGGCTATAAATCGAGGTTTAACGAGCCGAAAACGAGCTGTTCGCGAACAACGAGCTTTTTTTACAGCTCTATTCTTAACATAAGTCAAATCTCAAAATATCTACTCTCCTAATCAGATCATCAGATGGTCATTGCTTAATGTGACCAAACCATTTAAGACGACTTTCTCTAATTTTGTTCGTCACAGGAGCTACACCAACCTTATCACATATATAATCGTTTCACATTTGCCTTTAAGTGTAAAGCCACTCATCCACATAATCATTCTCATCTCGGCAACACTTTAACTTAGTATTATACTTCTCTTTTAAAGGTCGACATTTAGCGCCATAGAGCATTGTAGGTCTCACCACCATCTTATAAAATTTTCCTTTTGGTCTAAGCGGAACTTTTCTATCACACAAAAGGCCTGAAGCATTCCTCCACTTCAACCAACTTGAATTCTTCTATTAACATCCCCATCTATATCACCATCGCTTTGAACAACAGACCCGAGATATCCATCGCTTTGAACAACAGACCCGAGATATCTAAATTGTTCACAACTTTTAATAATTTAATCACCCAAAGTTACACTTATGTCACTGGAGCTACTACTACTAAAATTACATTCCATGTATTCAGTTTTAGTTCTACTCAAATGAAGACCTTTAGAATCCAATGTAGACCTCCATAATTCAAGTTTTTCCTGGGCTTTTTCTCTAATCTTATCCACGAGAAGGATATCATCAGCAAAAAACATACACCAAGGTACATCCTCCTGTAAATGTATAGTAAAACCATCCATTACTAAAGCAAAAATATACGGGCTTAACGCAGATCCTTGATGTAATCCAACAGAAATAGAAAAATATTTGGTCAATCCTCTTTCAGTTCGAACACAAGTAACAACTCTAGTATACTTATCTTTAATGACTTGAATATAAGTCGTATCAACACCTTTCTTCTCAAGAACTCTCTAAAGGATATCTCTTGGAACCTTATCGTAAGCTTTTTCTAAATCAATAAAAATGAAATGTAGATTCTCTTTATTTTCTCTGAACTTCTCCATCAAATTTCTCAATAAATGTATAACTTCCATGGTAGGCCTGCCCGTCATAAATCCAAATTAATTATGGGAAATCTTTGTAATTCGTCTTAACCTATGTTCAATCACCCCTCCCACAATTTTAAAGTATGACACATCAATTTAATTCCTCTATAATTTGCACACTCTTGTGCATTCCCTTTATTCTTAAAAATGTGGACCAAAATACTCTTCCTCCACTCCTCAGACATCTTTTTAGTTTTTAAAATAATATTAAAGAGTTTAGTAAACCAAGAAACTCCGAAATCTCCTAAACATTTCCATATTTCAATTGGGATATCATCAGGTTCTACAAACTTTCCGTTTTCTTTGTTTTCTTTAAAGCCTCCTCAATTTCTTTTTTACTAATGCGAATATTTAAATTTAAAATAATATTATCAAATTTTAAAAATAAATTCTTATTTAAAAATTGAAAGGGAACATGAAAATTAATTATTTTTCACGCATATATTCATGATAAGCAACAATAACGTCATCTCTCTTTTAACGAGCAGTTTGAACATTTAAATTTTAAATTCCTGATGTGTGACTAAAAATTTGAACCCCGAACACGGTAGTTTAGGGGATAATTTTTGGGACATTTACAAACATATCACCCAATTCTTATGTATTACATATCTAACCCTTAAATCTAATTACATTTAAATCTAATTACCAGTGGAACTATGCCACGACCATGGGGCAGGGCAGTAACGGCTATGCAGGGTAGGGCTGGTGCATTTTGCATACATACCACCTAATTCTTATGTATTTGAAAATCTAACACTTTCATACTTACCACCCAATTCTTATGTATTTACATATCTAAAACCTAAAATTTATTTTTTATATTTATAAAAATCAATGATATCATATCAAAGTTATTGCTATTTTTATTTTTTCATTTTATTTTTTTATTATTTAATTAATTTGAGCCAAAACAAGCTGAACACGATCGAACAAAAGTTTGTTCGTGTTCGACTTGTTTATAAATCAAGCTAAAAAGATTGTTATTGTTCCACTTGTTTGCTTAACAAATGAATCAAACATGAGTTACTTAGTTACCTGAAACACGAGTTGTTCGCGAATGGCGAGCTTTTTTTACAGCTCTATTTCTAACCCATAAACGACCAACCTAATGATACCTATAAGGTCATTTAAAGGATTCTAATAAACATAAGATGGTTAAAATAGACTTTGGTGACATAGGGTTGACTTCGATTCACCATATGCTTTATTAGGCCACCTAGTGTTTAATCAATGTATGATAGGATCTCCTTAATCTCAATGTCTACAAGATTGGTCATGGACATTAAAATTTTTCCTAGGATGAAGGATGAACCTGCAAGTTTTGTAGTTCTTTGTACCGAACATAAAATTGTCAAAAAATTAGGAAAATTAATATTTTATCAAACATTTATTAAAACTATATTAAACATCGTTTTAGATTTTACCCTTTTTTTCATCATTTTCTATAACGATGATACCATTAACATATATTAAAATGGTTGTCACCATCTCTATGGCTTAATTTTTGATTAACAGGGTTTCATCTCCTTGACTTTGTTTGTATCTATTTCCTTCATTGCTGAGCTTTAGTGAATTATTGTGGACCATTTAGGGTCTTCTTTATTCTACACACCATATCAGTTGATCCCATTTCTTCAAATTCTTAAGGAATGCTCATGTAAAATTCGGTTTTTTTGGATTCCTATGCAAGAAGGTATTCTTCACATTACTTATTTGAAATTTCCAATTGCAGTGCACTGCTTGCAAATAATATATTTCTTGCATTATTCATCTTTGCGACATGGACAAATGTCACTTGAAAATCAGCTCCATATGTCTGCTTCTAACTTTGAACAACTTGTTTTGCTTTGTCTTTTAATAGAGCGACAGATCTTGTACTTTAAAGTGAACTCATTTGCAATCTACTATATTATTTTCTTTTGTTTTATTGAAGATCTCCCATGTATTTTTTCTGTCCAATGTATTTGTTTCCTCTCTATCAGCATTTCTTCATTCTTGTCTCGATATTAAAGTGTTTGGATTATAATAGTTTTTGTAAACTCACAATAAAATTTTAATGTAATGGAGAAAGTATGGACCTTCAAATTGGCATATATATTTTCCAATGCCTTGATTCGCCAGGGTTCTTGTTGATGCCGAATCATCTCCATTGGATATGGTCTTTGCTACCAGTACCCGAGGGTAGTGTACCTAATTGCCTGTCATTTTTAATTGTGCATCCTTCTTCCAATGCAAATCACTCTTTTCATCTATATGTGTGACTTCATTGGACCGTTATGTCTATTCATACAGGTGAAACAAGATTCCTTTTTGCATAAAATAAATATCAGGATTTGTTCTCTTTTAACCATCGATGCAATTTATGAATGACATTTTTATTCCGTCTGGATTCTATTTATACTTGTAAGGATTTCTTTTCTTTGAATTCTTCTTTCAAATTTGAATTTAGCTTTCAGGGTATATGCGTGCAGATGATAAATAAATACTGAAATAAAGATGATGTGGATGCTTGATTAAATAAAAACTTAGCTGTCAGCTATCCCAATTTCTTATTATCTCATGAGATGCTGTCCATACTTGTCAAATGCGGTAGATGGCTTGCTATTATATCAACAATTTTGGAATTTGATAGCATTATTGTGACTTGCGGTCATGCACTTTTTTGAAACTAAAAACTGAAAAGGAAGGTAAAATTGATAATTGAAGGGAGTAGATAGAATGATAGACTAACAGAAGCTTAATGGCTTTATATTTTCGCAGAAATTAATAGCAGAGCTAGAGAATTAATTTGGAACAATCCACACTTAAAACACGTTGATAAGAATCGAAATCATGCTTTATGAGCTTTGTGCATCTAAAGCAATGCGCATGAACTTACTTCTCAATACAGTATCACTCATATTTATATGTTTTGCATGCCTGTAGCTTGTTTTTTCTGAATTTTTTCATTCAGTATGCTAGTTTAAAATATGGACTTTGTTTATAATGCATATTTTTTCAATCATCGGTCATCTTTATAAGATTACTATCGAGTGATAATTCATCCTCATGTTTGCTTCATATCCTGCAAAATTCATTTTTATTTCATCTGAACTGCAGCTGTTCTTATACTTGTGTTTTATTATAAGGTATGCTCATGATGAGGAGACAGGTGACGACCAAGAAGAAACTGGATGGAAATATGTTCATGGTGATGTCTTTAGGTTCCCTAAAAACAAGTCTTTTCTCGCTGCCTGTCTTGGTTCTGGAACCCAGTTATTTGCTCTGTAAGTGTTCATTATAAGGGCTTGTTCATTTGTATTTTTCCTGTAACTGCTCTTTTGATAACCACTTGAGTTTAATTGACTCAAAATTAATTTTGTTTATTTCAAATGTGCTTTGTTACACCTATCTGCATGCCTTTGCGAGCACACAATACAAATATATGTTTGTGTATGTATGCATGCAGGCTGGCCTGCCTGCCTGTTTACATTAAGCTGAGCCCTTATATATTTTCCTTAATTTGCCTATTTACATTACGATTTATTTCACGATGACTAAAAATATGAACGACTTATGTATGTATGTATGCACTTATGAGCAAATATACACTGAGCTGAACCCTTATATATATTGCTTAATTTGCCTATTTACATTTACAATTTATTTCACGACTGAAAAGTATGAACGACTTGACCTGTAAAATCTCGGCTTAATTGTTCAATTTCAACCAAACTCAAAAGCTTCCGAGTCAAATTGTAGCAAGCTTGCTCTTACATGGTTCATTGTTGGTCCTAGCTGTCCCTTAAGACCTGGGATCGTTGCTTCCATTAGAAGCGTAATAATAATAGAAGTTTATCTAGCTTCTTTGTTATAGTGGCCATTCATTTCCTCGTATAATATAGTATATTTGTACAGAAAGAACTTCCAGCTACGGTTATTGTCATTCTAATTCACCTACTATCATCTCTTTCATGTCATGTCTTGCAGTACAACCTTCGTATTTCTCCTAGCCCTGGTGGGAGTCTTCTACCCTTACAATCGTGGTGCACTTTTTACTGCATTGGTGGTGATATATGCGCTCACTTCAGGCATTGCTGGTTATACTGCCACTTCTTTCTATTGTCAGCTGGAAGGAACAAACTGGGTATGTCTGCCCATTTAAAGATGGGGCATTTTTCCTATATACCACCCAATTCCTATGTATTTACATATCTAACTCCAAAACTTTATTTTTTTACATTTATACCACTCAAATCTTTTACATCACTTTTAATTTACCACCATTTAAGTAAGTTGTCAGATATGTAAATACATAAGAATTGAATGTTATGTATGTAAATCTTCCATTTAAAGATTGAGCGCAAAAAATATTCCAGAACTCTGCTTATATCAGTATAAAGAGATGTTTAAGCACTAACTTGACGACTTCATTATCGTTGACAGGTTAGGAATCTTCTTTTGACCGGAGTTCTATTTTGCGGGCCTCTATTCGTGACATTCAGTTTTCTCAACACTGTAGCCATCGCATATAATGCTACTGCCGCACTGCCGTTTGGCACTATCGTTGTTATCACTCTCATATGGGCATTGGTAACATCTCCTCTTCTTGTTTTGGGTGGCATTGCTGGCAAGAACAGCAAAGCAGAGTTTCAGGCTCCTTGCCGCACCACCAAATATCCCCGTGAAATTCCGCAGTTGCCGTGGTATCGAGGGGCTATACCGCAGATGGCAATGGCTGGTTTTCTTCCTTTCAGCGCCATCTACATTGAGCTTTACTACATCTTTGCCAGTGTTTGGGGCCACAGAATTTATACCATATATAGCATTCTCTTCGTGGTTTTCATAATCCTCCTCATTGTGACAGCATTTATTACTGTGGCAATGACCTACTTTCAGCTTGCTGCTGAAGATCATGAATGGTGGTGGAGGTATGAGCCAACCATTTATGTTTATATGCATTCAAATACATATCTAATTTGTTGATGAGAAAAGTGTCAAATTTGTCCCCTAATTTTTTTGCAGGGTCATTTTAATCTCAAAGTCTATACTAGGGCCAATTTAGTCCCTAGACTTTTGAGAACTATTTCAGCCTCAATTTAAATATTCTAAGGAGTAATTTGATATTTTTATAAATTTGGGATTAAAATTGCCCCATTAAACATTCCCTAAATTTCAATTTTTACATACGTACCACCTTACCTATGCATGAAAATGTGTTTTTCACTTTTAAAATAATTGTATTTTTGATATGATACTAAAGATTTCGGTGATAATAATGTATAAAGTCAAATTTAGGTGTTTGATATGTAAATACATAGGATTTGGGTGACATGTTTATAAATGCCGCTATATATATATATATACAAAGCTCTTCACTTACATATGCAAGTTTTTGATGAGCAAATTTAGAATAGGTTATGAGGCCAATATTTGATCTTAATATTTTCTTGATTTTTTTTTTAATAATTTATATAAGTTGATTGGATGCAGGGCATTCCCATCCACTGGTCTGTTTATATACGCATATTGCTTTTACTACTACCACGCGCGGTCCGACATGTCTGGATTCATGCAGACATCCTTCTTCTTTGGCTATATGGCCTGCATCTGCTACGGTTTCTTCCTCATGCTCGGCACTGTAGGTTTCCGAGCCTCGCTCTTGTTCGTCCGTCACATATACCGCTCCATCAAGTGTGAGTAGCAGCTCTTCAAACGAAACACGGCTTAATTTTCTTCATCATCCTACAAACTTCCATGGGTTATTTTCTTGATGAGCTTTATGAGCACACACCACCCCCCCCCCCCCCCCCCCCCCCCCTAGTTCTTCTTCATCATGTTTTACTGCTGATATGCATTATTCTTTCTGTGGGAGGGTGGTTTGCAAGATAGGCAGCCGTGGCACACTATCTGGAGGCTTCTACCGCCTCCCCCTCTTAAAGAACTCCTAGGTGTTTTGTTTGTAATGAAACTGCTCAACTTGATTTGTTAGTTCATACGAATTTTCCTTGTAAAACGATAGCTGTAGCACTGTGTACCTCTTTTTTAACTTTTTTAATTATTAACAAGCAGCATGAGTTTAATTTTGTGACCTATGGATTAGAGGAAATGGCTGTATCTCTAACATATCGGGTTTTTTATTACATAATCTATGTTTTTTTATTGCCTACCATTCTTAAAAAAATATGTTGGGCAATTAATTACATACATAATAGCACGCGGTATATTATTGTATTTTACAAATCTAGCTCTCTTTTCATCCTTTTTTTAATTCTTACTCAAATATTGAAATTCATGATAAAAGCCAAACTCATGGTTTTCATTTTATTAAATTTCAATGCTTTGATTTGCCACGTATGCATACGTTGGTTTGGCAGTTAAAAAAAAAGATTCTTAGGTGTTTAGTTTTGTAAATAGCAATATTTTGAGTGCTATGTATGTAATTATGACCCAAACATTAACATACTTATAAAAATATATAATAAATAAATATTTTCGATATAATGAAAATTGATAAATTTATATATTAGTTTAAAGTAATTGAATTATAAATAATGATAATGAGAGAGAGAGAGAGAGAGAGAGAGAGAGAGAGAGAGAGAGAGAGAGTTAATGCTTGTACATCAAAATACCTACATTGATTTAATCTTATACCACCATATATGGCCTTTGTTATAGTTCTTCAAACCTAAACAAAATGAGCCCCCCCTGAGGCCCAAACATCAATTGTGGAAACGTAAATATCTTGTCATAAATAAGCATATTATATAATAAGAGAAGTCTTTGCTCTGATGATTGGATGCATCGACCTGATGAAATATCTGTTGGCCAAGCTCGAGTCTGCCCTCTGGATCTCCCCTGTGATCGATGTTCTTTGGATATCTCTTCTACATTCGATGCTCCCGTCTGCAGGAAAAAATATGATTTTATATTAATGTTGTAATATAGTTAAATGATTGTGTTACCCTCTATTAGTTTTACAAGTATGTTACCGTGTTATCTATTTAAATAGACCTGTATTGTTCTGTTGTAATGTGTCATAACAAAGATAAATAAAACGAAGTTTCATCTTATCTGTTGATCTCTTTTCTTCTCTTCCGCTACCATTTCTTTTCTCGTTCATGGTATCAGAGCCTATCTGCTTCACGACACAATGAATTCCAGCTCCTCCAGCTCCAATCAAGAAGGTCAACAATCTCAGATGGCTTATAACAAATTTATTGAAATAAGTGTTCCTTCCACATTAAAATTCTTGATGTACCAAATGAATAACGTAATTGGGACATGTTGAACTCAAGAAAATTACCCTTTGTGGGGAGCACAACTATCAGAACTACTTGCAGCAAATGGTTTTGATACTTTTCTTGAAATCAAACACCTCTTCCACCAAGTCACATTACAGATGCACATGATCAATTAGAAAATCAAGATTATATAGTATGACAAATGGTGGATAGAAATTTAGCTGCATCAATGTTTTCTGCACTTTCCCATCAATCTTGCCATACATCTTGAATCTCAATACCACTGTTGAGATCTCACAGACTCTAGAAAGAAGAATACAAGCATCTAATAGATCTTGAGTCATTCAATTAAAGAATGAACTTCATAATATAACTATGGGATCAAGTAACATGAGACAATACCTTACAACAGTAAAAAATCTTGTTGATAACATTGCTACAGTAAGTTCCAGAGTGGGCACCGAAGATATTATACTCTACACTTTGAACAGTCTACCACCAAATTACGTAGGGGTCAAGATAGTGATACATACAGATTTACACTCTCTACTTCTTGAAGATTTTTATGCTCTTTTTCATTGCAAAGAATGCAACACTGCTAATGCTCTTCTTACCTTCAAAAACAAAGGAGGTTACCAAAACGTCAAAAATTTCAACTAGAATCAAAATAACAACAAAAATTTACCCAATAGCAAATTCGCAAAAACAAGATCTGCCACCATATGTCAAATATGCAACAAGAGAGGACACTCGACAAGTCAATGTTGGCATAGAGCGAACTTAACATATAAAGCCTCTCCCAACTCAACCGTTGGTCTCCCCTCAACAAGCACAAGATTGGATATTAGACACCGGTGCTACAACTCATCTCACTCCCACTATGAAAAGAATGCAATCAGCACAGCTCCATAAGGGCATAGAACAAATTGTCGTCGGTAATGGACAATGCTCAGAAATAACACATGTGGGTAATGGTATTTTGTCCACACCTAAACGTATGCTAAAACTTTCTCCTATATTTAGAGTACCATATCTATCACACAACTAAATTTCTATTCACAAACTTGCAAAAGATAATAATTGCACTATTATTTTTTCTGCTCATAAGTTTCAAATTTTCAACTCAGTTACCAAGACTCCTCTGCTAACAAACGGGGCTGAACAAGGACTTTATCCAATCACATCACTTCAAACTACCACAAACTCAAATCTTTGGCATCAGGGACTAGAACACAACAATAATAAAGTTTTGCCTATGATAGCTCATGCATACCCTCAACTTCACTTTGCTTGAAGCAATTTTCAATGTGCTGATTGTTATGAAAATAAGAGTCAAACTCGTTTTTAAAAATAGCACTACTACTTGCTGCAAATTTAAAATGACTCTTTCTAATACTTGGGAACCTTTTCCCCATCCTTCTCTTGAAGGATATAAATATTACGTTACGTTTATTGATGCATTCTCTCGCTATTGTTGGTGCATGCGTCTCCATCAAAAATATGAAATAACCTTGCGTTTTATTGCCTTGCATAAATTGATACAAAATTGTTTTAATACTAATATAAATTCTTGAGAACAAATGGAGGCGGAGAATATATTTCAAATGAACCAAAAAATGTATCTTTAAAATAATGACATTTAGTACAAATTCAGTTGTTCTTATACCCCAAAATATAACGATATAGTTGAAAGGAAATATCGACATATAATTGAAACTACTAGAACTCTTTTTAATGCATCTAAACTACACATCAATCTTTGGATTGAAGTTGTGCTCACTGCTACGTATCTCATAAACCGAATTCCCTCCCCCAACACACACAATCTCTCCCCGTTTCAACTATTACATGAGCAAACACCTGAATATCAACACTTGAAAGCATTTGGCTGGCTGTGTTTTCCCTTACAATATCATAATGTTCATCATAAGCTCTCACCCATGGCATCCAAATGCATCTTTGTAGGCTACAGTTCACAGCACAAAAGTTACAGGTGTTATGATATCCGGGAATTAAAATTCATAATTTCTTGTCGTGTAAATTTCATTGAAAATATTTTTCCAGGTAAAATTCCTACTGTCACACTTCCATCCTCCTCACTCCTCTTCTCCTATATATCACCCATCATCCTTACTAATATCAACTTCTGCCATATTGTACACCCAATCTGAGTCCGCAACTAACTCTAATACTGATATCACATCTTCTTCTACGCATTCAGCCAACGATGTACCACTCACACATCCCTAATCTCCTTTGGCTTCCCCTTGTCAAATAGATCAATCCGCTTCAATTCCCACTACACATGACTCTGATACAATTTTTCAGCCACCATCTACTCTAACTTTAAAACAACATCACATGATAACTCGTGCACAAACGAAAAGTTTAAAATTAAAGAATATTATGAATTTACAACATCACATTTGATGAACCCACCGCTTACAACCAAGCTGTCAAACTCCCTCAATGGCTCAAAGCTATATCTGAGGAATTTCTTGCCCGGCAACAAGGCACATGAGAATTAGTGTTGCTTCCTGAGAATATTTTGGATTTAAATGGACTTTTAGGAATAAATATAATATAGATGGTACTATAGTTAGACATAAAGTATGACTTGTAGCTCAAGGCTACTCTCAACAACATGGAATTGACTATCACAAGACATTCAGCCCTGAGGTGAAATTCCCACAATTTGTCTTCTTATCGTGCTTGTTGTAAACAAAAATTGGTTTATTCAACAAATTGATGTTTCTAATGCTTTTCTACATCATAAGCTTAATGACAATTTATATGCGGCAACCCCCGGGTTTGAGGATACTCACTATCCTCACTATGTTTGTAAGCTTTAGAAAGCTCTTTATGGACTTGAACAAGTACCACGTCAACGGTATTATACATTTTGTACTTTTTTATGTCACTAAATCTTTGCATTAAGTAAACCTGATCCTTCTCTTTTGATTTATAGATACTATACTACACTCATTTACTTATTGGTTTATGTAGATGATATATTCATTACTGAAAACTGCACAATTCTAAGGCTTTAAATCTCAGGAATAAACCTTCCATATAAGAATTTAAAATAAAATACCAGAAACAAGTCTATGTACACTTTATACATATTTCATCCAAATTTGTATAAATTCTAAAATCATAAACCAAAATGGTAGCTAGAATTCCACATTTAACAGACAGGAGACATGGATAAAATCCATGTCTTGGTCTATCGAACACCTTCCTCTTAGAATTACTCAAATGTTTTATATACGAAGCAAGCAGAAATATCTCAAACAAAATAATAGAAGCTAGAGGAGTTGCACCTAATTAAGCAACATGGTGTAGTACTGTAGCAATAGCAGTGATAAACCTAACAGCTGGTAGAGTTGGCTCACGTGGAGAGCAGTCATTAAGGTCTCTTTTGATAATTTTGTACTAAAATAGTGTAGTTTTATATAGTTTGAATCTTAAATGTTATAATAAATATATGTGATTGTTTTGTAGGAGGAATATTGGTCTTTAGAGCATAAAATTTGCATCTTTTACACACACTCAACACATCACTCGATTCTTCCTATGTATTTACATATCTATTACCTAAAATTTATTTTTCAAGCATAGAAAAAGTAGTTTTATATGTAAAAATTAATATGTAAGTTTGAGAAATGTAAATAGAATCGATTGATATGCATGGAAATGCCCTCATATAAATATGACTTCACACTAACTAAAAACTCATATAAAAAACCTCTCAAGTGGTAGAGGATTTACATACAAAATTTGGATGTATTCAGACTTCATGTACAACATTATTGTACGTTGTTGTACAACTATAATAGTGTATGATATTATTGTACAAAGAATCCTAACACATTCCCACTTCCCCCACACATAATAACTTTTCCCCAAAAACTCCAAAACTCAAAATTGTTGGAATGTTGCCATCATAAAAAGAATACAATCTTAGAGAGAGAAAGAGCTAGAGAGAGAATACTACTCTCTTTCTTCTTTCCTTAGCTATTTCTATTGTCCATCCCCATCCCCACACCAAACTTTCCTGACGAACGAACCCTCGCTCCTCTCCCTCTCCAATTATTCTACTGCCATCACACACAAAGCCGCCTCCTTTTCTAGTCTCTATCCAATGTTCATAATCCCATCTTCCAATCCGCCGGAAGAATCCGAGCAGCCGCCGTCCTCCGCCTTAAACGCCGCCACCACCAAAAAGAAACGCCGCCCGGCCGGCACCCCAGGTACGCCCTTAATTCCTTACACTGAATAATAAATTAAAATATATTTATTTTATGGCATAAAACATTACATCAAATTTTACTTATAATTAATAGTTTGAAAAATATTATAAATTTCATCAAACATAATATTTTCTTGATTCAGACCCCGAGGCGGAGGTGATCTCTCTATCCCCACACACACTCCTGGAATCAGAGCGGTACGTCTGCGAGATCTGCCTGCAAAGCTTCCGGCGATCTCAGAACCTCCAGATGCATCTCCGGCGACACAGAGTGCCGTGGAAACTGGCGGCGAAGAGAACAGAGTCCAAAAAAAGAGTTTTTGTGTGCCCGGAGGCGAGCTGTCTGCACCACCACCCCCGCCACGCGCTCGGCGACCTCGTCGGAATCAAGAAGCACTTCCGGCGAAAGCATTCCGGCAATCGGCAGTGGGGCTGCGCCCGCTGCTCCAAAGCTTATGCTGTTCTCTCCGATTATAAGGCGCATTTGAAGACTTGCGGGACCCGCGGCCATTGCTGTGATTGCGGCCGCGTCTTCTCCAGGTCACCTGCCTTCTCTTAACCACAAAATAATATCTTGCATTTATTTATTTATTTATTTTTGAATAAATGTCTTCTAAATTTGAAATCTTTATTTTATAATTTTAATAATTTGAATTAACATCTTAATGCAAAATTATGTCACTTATTCGTAATTTAATTGCTTGGAATGTGGGGGAAAAAATCAATTTTTTAATTAATCATGCTATAGATTAGAAATGCTATTTTATATAGCAATTTTATTATTACTCCATTTCCTCAATAAGAAGCTATTAAGAAATTTACAAAAGAAAACAATAAGCATAATACATAAATAATTAATTAATATAATCCTTATCTCAATTTAAATCATTTTAAATTCAATCTAATGTTCATATGACTATCTAAATGCTAGTTTTTTCATAAGCTCTCAAATGAAATAGTAAAATAGTACAATTATGTTTTACTATAAATATGTAAAATTTGATCATATTGTGAAGAAAATTGTGTACGTAAGATGTACGCAACACTGCGTATGTCAGAGAGGTTTTTCAGAGGTTATTAGGGGTTATATTCGCATTATATCCCCCGCAACCTACATGCACCTTCTAGTAAGTTCTGCGCTTTTGTTTTCATATATTTGTAGGTTAAAGGTATGTTACAGGGTGTTACAAGGGGTATAACACAGATATATGAATAACCTCCCTTACATACGCAACGCTACATTTCTCCGTATTATGATGTTATTTTGTAATAATGCTTTCCGGTAACGTAATATATTTTCTCAGGGTTGAGGCTTTCATCGAACACCAGGATTCATGCACCGCCCCCGCCACCCAATCGCCGCCATCGCCGCCGCCGCCGCCGCCGCCGACCACTTTTTTTTATTTTGAGTGTTAGGTTGTATTGTGAGTGATCACCAAACCACAGCACCGAATTATCACTACTCCCTTCCCCTTCCAACCACCCCTCCGCCGCCGATCTCCACCTCTCCATCGCTCCTCCGCCGCCGCCGGCTGCAAACGCTACAGTGGCGGATTTAGAAAGAGAAGAGGTAAGGGTGCAAGTTCAGATAGCGGAGAGAGAACTAGCTGCGGCTCGTATAATAAGGCAGCAAGCGCAAGCTGAGCTCCAAAAGGCCTGCGCGCTTCGAACCGCCGCCGCACGACAGATCAATTCTGTTCTGCTTCACATTACTTGTGGGGACTGCCGGCAGAGAATTGGGATAAAGTGTGTCAGACTCGCCGGCCGTGATGATGGTGGTGGTGATGAGAGTGATGGAGATAAATCGGTTTGATTTTGATTAGCTTGATGAGTGTTGTTTTTTCAGTGGTGATTTGTTGTTGTGAGAGAAATTAGTTGTTAGTTAATTGTTTGAAGAAGTGATTAGTGTGAAAACTTGAAGTGTTGATTTCTTGTGATTTTGAAATGTGTATCTATATATATATATATATATATATATAGAACAGTATCTATATATATATATATATATATATATATAACCTTGTGCGCCACGTCTCGACTCATTGATGAGGCCTCTAGCATAAGCCCCTCAGGTCAGGGATTCGAATCCCGTAGCGCGGACTCTTCGGATTAATTAAAGTACACCGGTTTCCGACCCAAATGAGGGAAGCATTATTTGGTAGCCACTGGACCAAATAATGATTCTCTTCTAGAATATATATATATATATATTTATATGAATTCCCTTAACAAAATCCTAGTAAATATGAAAAAAATACAAAAGTACAACTGAAATCTTCTTCCCTTGCGATGAGAAATAATGTGTCTGATGATGCTGAGAGAAATACTAGGTTGCAACCCACATGTGTAGGACGGTCTAGGTGCGCCTAAAGAGATATGTACCAATCCTCTTCATATACGTGCAACACAAGTAATATTTGATGGAAAAATTATGGAGTTACTGAAAGCTCGTGATGTGAATCAATTTTTTTATTCTAGAATCTTTTTTTCTATGCGAAATTTGATACTATCTTGCACACTGGGTGATTAATTAACATTTTAGTATTGTATGAAGGTCCAATAAGTAGACAGATGACAAAAATAGTATAGGAGAAAACAATAAGATGTTTTATGTGGAAAAATTTAGGGAGGAAAAAAACTATGAGTTTAGCCCAATTAAAATAATCTACTATAAATGTGCTTGTACAAAAGTACACCCTTTTCTCATGGCTTGGAGAGCTGGGATATCAGACACAACACTTTGTGGTATAAAACATATAAAAAATTACAGGAGTTGGGAATAATCTCTGAATTTTGAGTACGACGGTCATAAGCCGCAATTGTCAGTGGTTGGAATAAAGTGACAACATATGATGGTGGTTATGGAGACCATATTGAGGTTCACCAAGCAGGGGTCGTTAATGACAGTGATCAGAGGTAGTTGGCGGTGGTCCACAACGACCAACATATGGTGCTTGACAGTGGCCGACAACTATGGAGGTCAAAAATCATAGTTGGGCCTTCAATCCATAACAGGTTCTAGAATTCATTCTCTTCTCCTCTCACCTCAAGTAAGAAGAGGCGGTCTATTTTTATGCTCTTGGAGAATGACATTTCGGTTCTTTGACGAATAACTATCCAACTCTATTGATCATAATAGAGAGAGGGGGTTAATGATTTAAGGGTCTAAATAACCTAATAATTAAATGAGCTTAGGTTAGTTGGATTCCTCTCATCGAAACATTAGGTTTGAATAAAAATTTATTAAATTTAAAGTTTATTTGACCATCCAATTAATGATCCAAAAATCCAAAAATATTTTAATGACCTGTTCTAGGTTTCCTGGACTCAAATCAAACCAACTACAATATCATCAAGTTCGTCTAGTCGAGTCGATCAACTTGATTATAAATGTATTGAAATCGAAGTCATGCATGATCTTCATTTTGAAATCAAAATGTTTATCATTTAAACTTATTGGCTCAAAATTCCATAATAGATTGATAAGAATTTCTTGATGACATATCAAAGATTTAAGGAAATTTTATTCTTAGATTTTTTTAATAAATTTTAAGATTTTGATTATCACATTTAAAAATGACATTTATTAACTATACATAAAAAAACTTCTAAGCATTGTGTCGCCATACAACTTAAGGTGCATGTGGCTCAAGAGACATGGTTTTCAGTGCCATGTTGCTACGGACAAACCGTCACCTCTCACCCTCATTATTTTAATTATATATATATTCTTAAATTAATAAGCGGCAAAAAAAAAAAAAAGAGAAAGGTTAGATTTCTTATAAAAATTAAATTTTGTGGGATTTACATGCAAACCCCTTCAAACATGCTGATTCACAAAGCTAACACCCTAAATTTTATATTTAGTTACACAATACTTAAAACTTTTAAAATATATCAAATCTATTATCTTTATATATATATATATATATATATTTTATAATGGTTAATAAATTTATTTTATTATGTTAATTTTGAATGAAAATTAATATTTATTTATTTTTCTTTAACACTCAAATCCAATTCGCTTTTGCACTTTGCAGAACTGTTGTGAACTAAGATATATATGATACAAGAGATATACCAGTTGATGTTGTAGTGTGTGTGTCTCTCTCTCTCTCTCTCTCTCTCTCTCTCTCTCTCAACGGCGTCAATAAAGCAAAAAATTGAAACAAGAAAATCACAAAAAAAATACAAATTTATGTTGTTCGACAAATTGCCTACGTCCACGGAGTTGCAGAGAATTTTACTACTTGAAGAATTTACACCAGCCGATCACATTGACTTACAAGAGGAATCTCACTTCGTTGCTCTCTCTTCTTCTCTTTCTTTTCTTCTCTCTCTACACCGAGATAAACTGAAGAAACTCTACATCGAGATACACTGAAGAAGATAAACTTACAATAAAAAAAACTCAATTTCTCTTATGCCACAAACCACCAAGAAGAAGCCAAGGGAGAACAATCTTCTTATTCTTCTTCTTTCTTCTTCCTTCTGCCACAAGGAACTACTGATTGCACTTCTCTTCCTCTGTCCCGAGGAAACCAGAAGAAGAACTTAAAAACGTGACTTCTCAACTTCAATAAGAGCTGTCTGAAGTCTTTTATCGTGAACATGAAGGAACTTTCGCGATAGGCGCAACCCTTGCGAAATAACGAACTGTTCGCGGGAATAGTTCGCGACCGAGCGTGGCCAATTTGCAAAAGCAAGAGCAGGAAAAGAATCGAACTCCAATGCTAACAATCTCCCACTTGGAGACTTATACACATGCTTCAACGTCTTCTTCCTCAAACTGAATCCTCCACTGGCGGTGTCGCTTTTTTCTTCAAACATGAATTCTCCACCTCTGCAACTCAAAGCCTCTGTCTTCACTCCAGAAGACCAACTGACGTTGTGCACAACTTCAGTTTCTCAAGAGTAACACCCTCAGTCAACATATCAGCAGAGTCCAAATAGCCTTGCACCTCCAAGCTATTTCCTGAATTACTCTTGTCTCTGCTTACAACTTCCACTGCATGGGCAATATCCTGCTTCTGCTGAAAGCCTTTTCAACAAGTCTAGCCTTGTACCTCTTACTTCCATCATGCTAAGCCTTCATCTGGTACACCCACTTGTTGTGTAATGTCTTTTTTCCTGGCGAAAGTTCTGCAAGCTCCCACTTGCTCTAACTTTCATCTTGCAAGATTTTTTCATAGCTCTGTGGTTCTCCAGCATCTGTTTGTGGAACAATAGGAATGAGTGTCCTGGACCCACTAAGACCGACTCTTCTCTTCACTTCCAACATCAATAGAACTATGAACTGCCAGCAATAGTGCATTATGTACTTCTTCAGATACCACATTTACGCTATTATTCTCCATCTTCTTAGGATTCCTGCAGTTCCTCCTTATGTGCCCAGCCTTGCCATAATTCAAGCAGGTTGTTTGTTGACCAGACTTTGATTTTGATCTCCCTCTATTTGAGTTCTTATCTTGTCATCTCCCTCTGAAATCAACATTCAGTGCCGAACTTGAACCTGAGATCTCGCCAAAATCTTTTCTTCACACCTCCTCAGCCAAAATCAAATCACGAATATCATCACATTTCAGTTTAAATTTACCTATATAACTGCTAACTGCTATCCTCATGACTTCCCAACTATTTACCAACGATGCCAACAATATCAGCGCACGTATCTCATCATCAAAACCAATTTCAACATATGACAATTAATTTGTGATAGTATTGAAATCATTCAGGTGTTGAGCAACAGAAACACCTTCCATCATCTTCAAATTGAATAACTCCTTCATCAAGTACACATTGTTATTCCTCAATGGCTTTTCATACATACCCAACGGGGCTGCCATGAGTTATGCAGTCATCCTTTCCTTGACGACGTTGTGTGCAACGAACCTCGATATGGTCAATCGAATAACCCCCAGAACTTGTTGATCCAACAAATTCCATTCAGCCTCATCCCAGCCTCATCCTCATCCATCCTTTCAGGTCTTTTCCCTAATAACGAAAGATGAAGTTTCTTCCCATACATGTATTCCTCCATCTGCATCATCCAATAACCAAAATATGTGCTATCAAATTTCTCGATCCATGAAACCTTCACTTCATCTGCAGTCATTGGCTCTGATACCAGTTGTTGGGAGATGATATACACTAATTGTTGGTATATATATAAATCAAAGAGGAGAACGATCGATGAAGCAAAAAATAGAATAAAAAAAATCACACCAGAAAAGACACAGATTTACGTGATTCGATAAATTGTCTACGTCCACGGAGTTGCAAAAGATTTTACTACTTGAGAAATTTACACCAGTCGATCTCCTCGACTTACAAGAGGAATCTCTCACTTCGTTGCTCTCTCTTCTTCTCTCTCTTTTCTTCTATCT